GGGGTTGGAACCAGATGATCTTTAAGGTCCCTTCCAACCCAAACCGTTCTATGATTCTGAAAAGGATCAGGCTGCCTGGCATGTGGGTGTGCTGTGCCGTGCGACTACAGTCGAGTTTTCTGTAGGCTGATCTTCCCATGGAGCTGAGCCCTTAGTAGCAATTTTTCCCTCTTTGCTGGATGTCCCTCTGCACTGACATTCTCGGGATTTCATTCATAGTCACTTGTAGTAGTCCACTGGACAGTAAGCGTGTTGCTGCAGGGGTCGTGCCTTATTGCTTAGAAATCCTCAGGCACTGCTGGTCCCATGTGATTAATAATTAATTTTCGGAAAAATGATGCTCCCTGTGTGAACCTCACAAAGTTCAACAAGCCCAAGGGCAAGGTCCTGCACATGGGTCAGGGCAATCCCTGACCTGACCTGAGCGAGAGGTGTTTCTCGTGCTGCTGTCCTCACTCCGGGCCTGGGAAGTTCTCAGATGTACCTCCCACGGACCTCCTCCTGGGTGTGCTCCTCGTGCCTGTCCTCCCTGCTCAGCTGCCACCTCCGACGGGCAGGAGGTTATGGAGCTCAGCTACAAACCCTGGGATCCCTCTCCCCACGGCTGGCAGCCACCAGCGGAGTTACTGCTCTCTTCAGGGACACCTCGCACTGTGGGAGATTGTAATGTTGTGGTTAACCACAGAGAGTTATACAAAGCTGAAGAGAAGCAGAAAAGGAATGTGAAAGAAGACGACTATGAAAGGAAAAACAGACAAGACTAAAAAGAAGTTTGCCATAAATATTTCCCCAGTTCACACAAACTAAAAACTCAGGATCTGTTAATGAGTTGGAGGAAGCAACTTGGTGTTTGCGTTACTCAGAGCTACGTGGATAGACCAGTAGCCTCTTTGGCCAAACTTGCAGAATAGTGCTGCTCATCAGATCTCTTATCTGGAGGGATGAAGGCTGTATTGACACTTTTGTCTGTTTTCATACGGTTCTTCACCAAGGTACTGAGATGTTCTCAATGAGTTTGAATCTATCTATTAATCAAAGCTTTTAAAAGTGGAGTTTATTGTCCACCTGGGTTGGATGCTATGCCCTGCACAAATTCCTTGTTTGAAACACCACAATAACTGTGAGTTTAGTTAACGTCTGAAAACAAGACACCGGTTTTCTGACCTCTTTCCTGGAACGCCGTGCCTTTGGCAGCAGCCGTAGGTGCGGAGCTGAAGGTAGGAGTGAGGCTCTTCGAAAGGAATCCCTGCTCTGACTTCAGCCGACGCAGACGGCAACCTGCACTTCAACTTCGTATTTTCAGTGTGTTCCTGCAGGATTTGGGGTTTGCAAATTAGCTGTAGACAGAAGCATGAACGGTGAGGACTCTGACAGTGGTTTAGTGACCCTCCACCACATACGTAAGCACAAACGATGAATGTGTGAACAGCGTTTTGCTGGCGTAAAATCGCAAACGCAGGTGGGGAGGGAGGCGCGGTTTGAGATGCATTTTGAGAATTGAGGTTTAGCTGGCTTGTTCTCATGTCTCGAAAGCATTCTCACTTAGAGCAGCTTGCAAAATTTAGAAATAGAGAATGTGATGATGACAAAGAATATTTGGATTAATTCTGTGCTCAAATTCATATGCTGGTGGTAAATTTTGTTAGATTTGGAAAATACATAGTTCCAAATCTAGAGCATGCTTCTGATCCCTCTGGGCAGTCTGCTACTTCTGCTCTGAATGTGGGATAAATATCCAGTATTGCTGTTGTTGCGATTATTTGATAATTATATTACTTGAATAGAGTTTTCCTCTAATGGGAAAGAAAACTTTGATGGTCACTTGAAAACTTATCTGCTACCAAATTTAGCAATCTGATAGAATTACTCTCCATGTTAGCACTAATTTATTGAACATTATAATAAACCCTAAATTACCTATAAAGTTGAACAGGAAAAAAATCTTGTAGCTGTGTGCAATTACTGGCAACAAGACACAGAGACGAAAAGAAATAATTTGATAACAAAACCTTAATTTAGGAGCAATGCTTTATAACTTTGAACGTCCGTTATTTTCATTTGAATAAAGAAGTTGCGACTGTATAGCAAAACTTAGAGGATGGGAAATCTGGTGGAGCTTCTGCCCTCGTGTCTTTGCGGATCAGCTTGCAGATCCTCGGCTGAGAGCAGAAAGCAGGGCTTCAACCAAGATTTCATCGTAACAGGAGTCCTGCCGCAGAGATAATTCTGTATCCAGGGCGGAACATAAAGCATCTATTAGAGTAATGTATGGAGGGAGAATCCATCAAGGGCAGATCGCTGGAATCTGTGGGAGAGTACGGGAAAATATCATGAAATGCTCACCCTTTTCTGATAGTTTATCTGTGCTTGTGATATTGGCTGCTATCAGGGGAAGGCTTATTGGGTGTGATGGGCTTTATCCAAGCCAATACAGCTGTTCTTAAATGCCGTTCGTCTTACAGCTCTAAAGATGGAGTTTGTTTCATAATCTGGTTTTCCTTACTCCACCCACCTTGGCTAAAAAGACAGCTTGCTGTGGGCTTATCCTTTCACGGCGTTGTCAGACTACTGGTAGGCAGTAATTTAATTTTTAAGGAGACTTCCTTTGAAAGCTGAAGTCAATTGTGTTTACTTTAAATTGTTTCACGGAGGACTGTTTTTGCTTGGAAAGTGAGTAGAATCAGGCCTGTAGGAAGAATTTTATTTGAGAAGAAAGTTGACTATAGTAGCGCTGTTCTCATTTGACACAAAATAGAGAAAGACTTCAGTGGGTAAAGTCAGCAGTTTTAGTCCGTATCCTGCACCAGCTGGGGAAAGTCCAAGCACAGGGCAAACAGGTAATGTTACTCTCCTTACCTACAGTAGTTCTGTCACCCCGGGGCTTCCAGCTGTCTCTTCTACGATCGCCCTTGGTGGACTTTGCTTCCTTAACGCTGTGCAGCTCTGTACCCCCGAGCGGTCAGAGCGTAGGTCGTGCTGGGACAAGTCCTTCCACAGCCTCGGCGCATGTTGTGCCAGACACGGGTTTCCTTTTGTTTCTTTTTTGAGCTGGTTCTTTTTTGGGAAGAGAGAGGGAAGAATTGTTTTTTGTTTTCTCTCTTCATGCCACTCATGATTTTATAGGTCCTTATCGTGCTTTCATTATTTCAGCCCTCTCTTTCCAGCCTGAAGGGCATTAGTCTACTTAGTCTTCATCTGGACTTCGTGTTATTTTTGGTGCCTTTGTAAGTGTATTCCCATATCAACTCTTGTCATGGAGCCGATATCCATGCAGATTTTGTACTGCTATGTAGAAGAACTTTATATTAGTACAATATGTCCACATTCCCTTGGCTACACCAATGGAAAGCACCTTTGGTGTACTGACTTCGCGTTTCCTTTTGCAGGGCACTGATACCCTTCAATCAGCAATCCAGCCAGAAATGCAGATAGAACACGGAGCGATCCAAATTCAATAAGGGAATTGTGAAAAGCTGTGTCGACCGCGACGTCGGTGAGCCACAGTCAGAAGTTAAGTGCCGTAGTCTTCGTGCAACAACAGGAGAATGGAAATGCCTGTTAGACTAATGGCCACACTTCGAACTTCTCCTGCAAACAGCCGAGTGCTGATGCTCTGGTTGTCCTCACCTGGAATAAATCAGACCCATTGACTTCAGTTGGAGCTACATCACTACATCAGTTGAGGATCTGGCCTTCAGAAAAAAATAAATGGCCTGGCGTGCAGAGATCGGGCAGGGTCACAGAATGTGCTTGAGAGCGTTGGCAGCTTCGAGGCGTTCTCGGAGACGTACGTATCAAAAAAGAAAAAAAAAGTCTTTCAGAAAGACCGAAAGAAATCTAATGAGTCAAAACCGTGAGACTAAATTAATATTTCATCCTGTTCGTTTCTTCTGTGAAATACGCCATTTGAATGTCTGCAGATACCTTAGGAAGTGTATTGCTGCTTTGCAATACTTGCTTTACCACATAGAGAAGATCAAAAGCTCAAATATTTTTCACTGTTTAAACAGCTTTTTTTTTATTTGCTATGGTGTTTATAACAAAAATGGAAAATATTTAAAAAAAGAAAAATCCCATAACTGCAAGTATTAGCCTTTTGCTGGTGTTTTCTGTTCAGTGTAATGAAAAATGTATTTGCAGAAGACTAACAATTCTGTTTGTACTGTTGCTTAACTACTTTTCTAGGGGAAAATGCTTGTAAATGCTGTAATTATGCATTTCTAATGAAAAATAAATGTGTATTTATGAATAGTGCAGCTCTAAGTTGCTCTCTGCCTTAGGAATGGATATGGTTTGCCTGGACGGTGCTGTGAGAGTGTAGTTCTGGAGCACGTGAAGACAGACGCTATCTAGCAAGCTCTGCTGTCAAACTGAGAAGTAAGATTAAGCCTATAAGGAAGATATCAAGCTTAGATCTTGTTATTATCTGAATTTCCAGTGCAAGAAAATTGTGATAGTTAAGCTTTCGAGTCTGCAAATCCTATTTTATACAATGAATTTATGAAATAATTTTTTAAAAATGTGAAGGATTCTTCTGAGCTCTCTCCCTTTCAGTTCCTCCCGCCTCCTTGGTCCCGCCGTTTGTGGCGATACCTCAGATTGAAATTCGTCCATAAGAAGCTGGGCTGTGAAAGTCTGATACCTGTCTTGTTACCCAGCCTGCAGCAGCAAGGTGAAACCCTCTCGCTACTGAAACTCCTGGGGAATTTGATACCGATTCCAAGAAGGCTACATTTTCGTATTTGCTAAACTTCTGTGGAAAGGATACCTGTTTGCTATAACCTGGTTATCTCAGTGATGCACATTTTAGAAGAATACAGGGTTTCCTGGGGGAGGTGTTGCTTTGTATTTGTTTTTCAGCTGACTTGCTATATGATTATTGTCAATATATGGCTCATAATGCTTTTAATGTATTAATGAATGGGGCATAGCCACAAATTCTACATGGTTGAATTCAGGATAACTTTTTTTTTCCTAAAGAAAGGGAAGGTTAAGCACACCCAATTTCTGGGCATGTTGTCCTTGGTAAGTATTACACTTTATGTAAATTCCTACTTCTCTTTAGGATATTTCTTGACGCACAAGTACAATGCAAACTGAACCACAGATTACTGAACACGATGTTTGCAACAGGCCAGGAATTTGGCTACTCTTCAGCTTCTTTTTTTAATGGTGTTTCTCAGACTGGGTGATGTTTGAAGAGCTTGGCATCCAAGCAGAAGCCTAAAAATAAAGCACGGCCTGTGCATTTTAGCATGGCTGTTTATAATAAATTATTTTGTCACTTGGAAGTGACAGCGAGGAAGCTGGGATGGCAAAGCTGATGTGTGCTACCACATACCACTCTCTTGCTATATTCAGATTGGCCACCACAGCCGCCTTCTGTTCTTCAGAAAGTTTTGCTTTTACCCAGCTTTCCTTCTGCATCCCAGGCGTCTTCTGCTCTCAAGGGGAACACACATGCATTTAAATTGTAGGGTGCCTGTCTTCGTTTTGTGCTGCAATTAAGAATTCTGTTCTCTTTGCGTTTTTCAGCTCAGGTACAAGATGAAATTGAGGTCAGGGGAGGTTTCCTTTAGCCCCTAGACTGCTCCAGGCTCAACGCTCTTCTGCTAAAAGTGATGGTGGAGGCGTATCAAGCAGTGAAATAGCAGTCGCTAGATCGCAGGGAGTGAAATCTGCTTCACCAGTGTGGAATGGAGCGTGTACAGATCACTTGCAATAAATAGGTAAGGAGAGCAGCTTACGAAGGGCCTTCTGTGCATTCAGATGTTAAAACTGCGTGTTCCTCATAAATAGGTAAGGAGAGCAGCTTACGAAGGCCCTCCTGTGCATTCAGATGTTAAGACTGCGTGTTCCTCGAGCTGTGAATTTTTCTCAGTGTTCTGTCAGTGTTTGCATTGCTCTGAGCTGTGTCATGCTGTGTTTATACTTCAGAGAAAAGAGACTTCGACATTGAGCCAGGTATCCCTGTAAGTAATCCTTGTCCCTGTCCCCTTTCTGTACGTTTGATGTCCTTGGAGGATTCATATCCTTGTCCAGGGAGGAAATGTCTTCTCTTCAAGAATGTTGTGTGTGTTTTCTAGGCATCACAGGGTGTGTCACATACAAATGAGTCATTCCCGAGAAGCGTAATTCAGGAACCAGTTCCCTTCTAGGAAATGCTTGTGACTGTTAGGAATGTGTGAGGTTCTGTTGCAAGTGTGAGGAGCATGTTCACACAGAGATTATCGTAACAATAACATATCAACAGAACAGTAAGAAATCCTAAACCTGTTACAGGAGGACTCAAGGAATGAAGATCTTGCAGGGGTACTGAAGGTTTCCCCAGGCTCTGTGTTCGAGTAGGTTGGTGGTGTTTCACTGTGGGTGTAGTTCTGCCGTTGAAGACTGTTTGGCCATTTCAGCAGGTCAGCTAGGAATGAGTTCTCATTGTGTCTCCCTTTGTTACTCACAGCTTCTGCCTTTTTAATAATAAGGTTCTTTTCCCCACAGCAAACCTTCTAACATCCTCGTTTTTAACTGGTCTTTTTCTCCTCGTGCTGCTTTTGTCCAAGAGGCAGAGCTTGAGAACGTATAACCACGAGTCTTCAGGGGGACATTTCTTGTCAGGTTAGCCTAGGATCAGCTGCTTATTTTATTTCTAATTCACCTTGTGACCTGCAGAATACTGTTTTTAACGGGCTTTATTTTGTTTTGCATGATAGTGTAGGCTTTGGGGGAGGAGAGCTTCTGGTTACCCTTCTTGGCCCTACTGGTTGTTTTTTGGTATCAAGTTCACTAGAGACAGACCTCACCATTTATCTTGATGTTACGGCTCCACATGCAGTATGGTACCATTATAATGACCTTTCAGATCATTTCATCTTGAATCCCACCTGAAAGAGCATCCATCTCATGAATTCTTAAGGGCTTCTGTGGGCCTGATGTAATAACTAATCCAAATGTTATGGTTTGATGGATTGTACAGCTAGAAATTGGTTTTAAAAAAGTGAAGGATGTGGGTTATTTCTTTTCTGTTTTTCTTTCTTTCATTCCTTGTTAGTTTTACATATTTTGTCTTGGAAAACAAAACTATAAAAACGAGCACCCTTCTGTGACTCAAATAAATGGGAATGCCTTCATTAGCTGCATTTTTAAGCCTTTCAATATTGACAGTTTGCCTGTAAAACAAGCAATGCTGGCCAAAATGTTGCTCCAGCGTTTGTCTCCATCACAGAGATCCTGGCATGTGTACGAGTATGCTCTGGTGGCCCTGTACTTTATTATTCACTTCACAGAACTGCTGTGGAGTTCCATGTTAGAAAATACAGTGAGGAAACCAATATCTGAACCCCCCCTCTCAAAATCGCTGTAGAATCTCAGTCTGCACAAACTTCTGTTGGCAATCAGTATTCCTTCTGAATTCCTAATTACCTAAGTACTGAAAATTTAGAGCCATAACTATAATTCAACAAAAACTGTTTCCCATTATCAGGAATAAGAGTGTTCCTTTCATTCACTGCAATCCCAGAGCACTTCTGTAAGCTCTGCTGGTTCAGATGAGCACTCGACAGTCAAAGCTCATTTCCTTGAATGAAGCTAGGAAGAAGAAAGCCATTCAGCTAGAGTGGTGTTTGGGGTAAAGTGAGATGGCTTTTTTCATGCGCTGGTACAAATGGACAGACTTGATTTCTCTGCTAAACAAGGTTTGACATATTTAGAGGTTCTTTTATACCCCACAAAAACAGGAGTGAGTAACGGTGCAGCGAGTGGGGGCCAGGGGAGTTGTGCAGAGCTGTGTGAGCGAAGTGCGTGGGACGTGATTGCTCACGTGCACTTTGGCCAGGGCAAGGGGTTAACACTTCTCTTCCCAAAGGTGCCAGGGGTTTTTAATCAAGTCTTGTTCTTTAGCATGAGAAATTGGATGAAAACCTATTTTTCCTCATCTACAACTTCATGTGCAACGTTTAGTTCAAGAGCAAATGTCTGCTTTGTTTGACCAAGAAAGAATGTCCTTTAATGATATTTAATACAAGTTCATATTTTGGGTAGAAAACGGTATTTTTAGGATTTTGTTCATCAGCGTGGGTATTTTTAATTGACCGGTAGACTGGAAAAAGTTCTGTTCTTTCAGTCCCTCAGGCTAATCTGTGTTTTTGGATGTTTAAGTAAACCGTCCAGTTTCATCTCTGTCCGTCAGCTTGGGTTAAACATGAGTTAATATGTTATATAATCTTCCAGTAAATATTTCAGATTTTTCTTACCAGTTAAAAGAGACTTAATCTGGTTGTGAAACAGATCAACAAAAGCCTGGATGGAAAGCTGAGTTTAGCCCAACGTCTCTCCATGCTGTGCTGCATGCTCCATTGCCAGCTGTAAGGACAGACCGTTCGTTGTCCCTCAGTGTGCCACGGTCTGGACAGTTATGGTATTTAATTTGAAAATAATAAATATCCCCGTTTTCCACACTGATTCC